GCTGAGCCCCCAGCGCCCCCATCCCCAACTCGTGGGGACCCCACTCCCCACCTGTGGGGACGACGGCCGGCGACTTTGCATTCTCGGACTTTGTGAGATCGATCTCCCCGTAAGTCACGGTCCCAGCTTAGCGGCTACGCGATGTCTCTCCCCAACTTCTTTTATGGGGAGATCATGTAACAGGTACGTTTTCACTTAAAAAAAGATTTCTAGTTTATAAAGAAATAGGCCGCTGGGGCTGCAAGTTGCTGGGTCTTGGGAAGGGACCGTCTATGGGGAGGGACCCGCCGTAAACTCTGGGTTTAGAAGCCAAGTGTCTCGGCAGGAGCGGCACAGCCCCACAGCGGGGCCCGAGGCTCCCTCGGCTCGAGGACGTATCTTTAATACTTACTAAGAAAGGGAACGTGCACATTTTCCTGTGTAACTACAAGCTGGGACTTCGTCTGCATCTGCCTTCCTGCAAATGTAAATTCTGCCCCTGCCGCATCCGCCTTGATGACACCTCAGGCGACGGTGATGTGTGGTGGCCGTGACAGCCGCCCCAGCCTCCCCCACGACCGTGCACGGAATTTCCCACAGGTCTCAGATGCTGCCGGGCACATCGTTTTAGGGAGAAGGAAATGCGCCCCAATTCAGTAGACGGCGCTATCGCAACGTCTTTAAAAACCTGTCATCCACATCTTAGTGGAGTCAGTAATGAGAGCACAGAAAGTGTGAATCAGTGTGACGGACGTCAAGGCCAACTCTAAGCACAGCCTGTCCCGGCCGCAGGTCACCCTGGCCCCACACTGCGTGCGATCGCACTGGAGTAATAATTCGTCCTTCATTCACTCATCTATCGATTTATTTGTTCCCCAAGGAATAGTTAGCGCCTTCCCGTTGCGTTTCTGCCCCCCAGCTGGGGTGGGGGGCCCCGTGTCACGGCAGGCAGGCCGGCCACGCACGTCCGCGTGGGAGACCCCGCGGCTTCGCCTCAGACACGCCGCGGGTACCGCCTGCATCGTGAGGGCCCCGGCCTGGTGCCCTGCGGCCCCACGCCTGACCCCCGCTCCCCGCGGGTCCTCGGCTCTCGCCGGCCACTCTCAGGGGTGACCCTGGCCCGGCCACACCGCAGACGCTGGCAGTGCCCCTGGATCAGAGCGCGCCACCCTGTCCCCGTCTCTGCTCCCCCATCACGTGGCCCCACCCTGGCCTCCCTCGCTCTTGTCACCTGTTCTCAAGTCCTTC